GTAACAGAAAAATCTACTAACAAACACGTTAATTCAGTAATCAGTCTAACGTTATTTGTTTGTATTTCGAGCAAAGGTATTTGAGGGTTATCTGCGTTAGCCATCCTTCATTTTAGAGTGATAGACTAAAATACCACCCACCGCCAACTTTTTAACTACTCTTTAACAAGGAATAATGGGATTGAGCGTCATATTATAACGCCTTCATGACGAGCACGTTCTGCGAAGGGTTTCGATCCTGCAACCCGCAGATTGCGAGTGGAGCGCACTAACCACCAGGACATCCATCGCTATGACAAACGCCTAATCAATCAGCAATCTACCTTAGTTTCCGTCTAACTCGCGTTTTATATCGTTGAAATCCTTTCCCATACATTCAAACAACATTCATTCATGAAGCAAAGTGCTCATCATGCGATCTCATAACTCTAAAAAAAATAAACAACCAAAGTTTAGGTTTAGGAAAAAAACATTCTACAACAATGCTATGAGTAAAAATATAGGTAATATACGTTTTTTTATCTGCCATTTATTATGAATATTCATATCACATTTTTAAATGTTAACCCCGCATTTAAATAATAATCCTTTTATAATGAGATATTTTTCAATCACATATACTTTCTCTTGGAGTGTAGGTACATCTCTTAATATGATAAAATTTAAATAATATTTTTAATAAGGCCGCCTGGAGTGGGTAACCTGTTTTATCTACTCGCATCACAATACAGTAGTGTGTTGTCTGTCAGTCAGTCAGTATACACTAAAATGACGTTACACAAGAAATGTTTAACGTTGTACTTTTTTACTGTCATTACGTCAATAAAACGCGCGCATGCCATGAATCACGAGAAGAATTATGCACTATATAGGCTACAACACAGCATGACAAATGAACTTCAAAATAAATGAAAATATTTGATCCTCTTAATTTTGATTTCATTTACTCTTGAAACAGAACACTTTCAGGGACTCTGCGGAAGTACACTTGATATTAAGTTTTTATTGTCTGAGATACACATTATAACTTACAAAACATTTATTAATCGCGTTCTTTTACCGACACATTAATATTTTATTTTAAAAAAAGTGTGTAAATGTCTCTGAACGTCATCTTCAGGAACAATAAATTATTCGGCCCAGTTTACTCATCAATTTACTCTTTGTGCAAAGAAAGACTCTTATTTGACACACAAAAATATATCAACTGTTTCTTTTTAAACCTAAAAGTATATTTATGCAATGGATGAGTTTTGTATACAATTTCATTAGAAATTTGCAATTAACAACTGTGATGGACTGGACTTCAAATTATTTCTCTTTACGAAATAAACTAGAAAGAACCAGTCCAATAATAAAGCTACTAAAAATGTGGACTTTTATTATTTGACAACCCGTATTAAGTCAGTTTTGAAATAATGACTTGATTTAACTTATTGATATTCTTATTGTGATATTATTAATTAGATCCTAAATTTTAACATCAATTTGTGAAATACTCATTATACAGGAAAAATATACACAATGAAAACTAGGCCTATCGTCTTCTACCGCATGATGGTATTTATATTTTCATATAATTTCACTAGAAACAATCACAACGACATGTGCTGTTGCATATTTAAAAAAATGTTTTATTTGTTTGTTATTAAGCACAAAGCTGCACAATAAACTATCTATACTCTTCACACACCGGTATCGAAACCGAATTTTATCACTGTAAGTCGTGTGAGTTAACGTTCATCCACCAGTGAGCATAAAAATAAAAGGTAGTACCAGCAATTTTATCAAATAAAGCACAGGTTTTCTAGTGTATACTGTTTTAATAAATAAACCAACAATGTTACTTTAGGTCCAAAAGATCATATCTTTAATACTTTTAAAACTTCGATTGGATTAAAAACTGAAACTAAACTTTACCAAATATTCTTATTTTTGAAATCCAGTTTGTAAATCTTCTCTATTTGGACAAAACAAATACAATGTTGCACAGATTAACTTTGACAAATGGGTTATTTAAAAACACGTTACAATGATATAATTGTTTGTTTGTAATTAAGCACAAAGCTACACAATAGGCTATCTGTGCTCTCCCCATCACGAGTATCGAAACCCGGTTTCTAGCGTTGTAAGTTCGCAGACATACCGCTGTGTCATTGGGGCCAAATACAAATTAATCTGGTGTATAAAACACGGTATGTTTCTCAATCACCAACTGCTTTCAACAGATGAATATTAATCTAAAAAGCATCTCATACATCTATGTCCCTACGACCGTTAAGATTAATCTTGATTTAAACCAGAGTTTTCATTTAGCAGTTGCGTGTTTCAAGATTTTGATAAACTGTTCGAATCAAAAACGGTCATAGTGTTTTCAGTTTGCTTCCTCCTGCCTTGATGTGATACTCAATCAACCTATTCTCATTTTTCTTCATATAAAAACTTCCCAGCAATAACAAGAGTTGATGAAAAAGCGCTGAAACTTTGAACTCAACCAGTGTTATACCGATAAGAAAAATAGTTCAAGGTAAACGTTTCATTTCAAGGCTGGCTAGATGTTGTCCGTTTCTTCTTATCTTAAAATAACACTTTCCAATATCGACACGCTTCATCATTCCAATTAGGAAAAATAACAGTCCCATTAATTTCAGAGCTGAAAAGAATATAACAAAAGCATTTTCACTGCCATTTGTAGATGAAAAGGGTGCCATTTCACAGCTTATCTTATAACAAAATGTGGACAGATAGCTTTAAAACAACGCGAGTTCTAACATATTTGTTTTCATAATGCAAAACCGAGTTACACTTATTATCAATTTGTTATGCTTAACTCATTAAGACTCAAGACTCGAAAGTACAAACAATATCAGAGAAAAATAAGGATATAGAAGCTGACATCGTGATTAAGTGAAACAAGCCACTTTTGAAAAAACCAAATATTCATGTGTTTAAATGGAATCACCTTCTGAATTTGCATATTTCAATAATTGGGCTCTTACTTAAGATATTGAAACGCGAATAAAACCATATTGTGTGATATTATTAAAAACTACTTTACAAAAAGTATTATTAATAAGCGTAAATACAATCAGGGGAGGTGCCAGTGTTCATATGTATGAGCAATGGTTGTCTTTTAGAGACTTGACACTGCAAATTAATATGAAGGAGTGAAACATTGAATTGAACAAGATTCGAAACCGCGATCCGATTACTTCTCAAACTGAACTGAAAAACACGTTTCTAATGAATAACAATCACCTTCACTTGATTGGTTATTAAATATTTATTTTTTTTTAGAATTTTCGCGAAAAACTTACACATCAAGGGGTATATGCACATGACCGTCACTAAATTTAGAAGTGACGCCCTAGAAGGAAGACAGCTAGTCAACACTACCCACCGCCAACTCTTGGGCTACCCTTGTCACATTTATTCTAAAGATTTATAATTCACCCTATCAAAATAGTGATAAAAGCAATGGTTTCTAGAGTATTAAGATACTTCAATTGATTTGTGTTATCCTCGAAATTCCCTATTAATATTCTACAAATTGGTTCACTACAACATTTCAACAAAGAATTTTTTTTTATTTAGAACGCTCAAAAATGAGTTCGAAAACCTGATAATTTAATCCACTTTCAAATTATATAGGACTTTCTAAGATAACATGTGAGCCATGTCGCTAACATCGTTTATTTATTTGATTTTAAAACCTTGTATACATTTCCTCTTAATGACTTAACATTTTTGAAAAGTATTTGATGTATATACAATAACTGTAATTTGCATTTAGACTATAATAATCTAATCAGAATTCTACGTTCAAAAGAAAATCACATTACAATAGATTTGTTTGTAGTTAAGCACAAAGCTACACAAGGGGCTATCTGTGCTCCACCCTCCACTATAGAAAATGTTATAAACAAATCAGTAGAATTGCTGTAAGTATTAACTGCTGTCAAAACATAAAAACTATCTATTATATATCTGAAAAAAAAAACTTTTTCGCATTTTAAAATTTATATTAATAATGTTTAGATATAGTGACGAGTTACTTCCAATTGGAAGTGATCTCGTTGTCTCAAAACATGAATTAAATATATCCAATTGATGAATAATAAGTTGATGAACTTTCTTTTGAAATAAGCACAACATAAAAACATATAAAATGTTTGGTAACTTGTATATATTCCTTACTTATCTGGTTGTAAATCAAACATATCACGTCATTGAAAAACTTTTAGTAGTTTAGTCGAAAACTGTATTTAATTTCAAATCACTTTGTAATTATAATGATCACTGATTTAAGTAGCCATGAAACATATATTTCGTAAATAACAGTTTGTTTGAAAATAAATAAGCTAATGTTTTAATTTAATATATTTTAACGAAGATACTGAATTCGGGGGAATTGGTGGAGCTACAGAAGGGTGCCACAGTTTCATCAGGTATGGTGTTCTACATGGTATAACTTGTCTCAGGTATGGTGTTTTATGTGGTATAACTTGTTGTCCCAGGTATGGTGTTCTACGTGGTATAACTTGTCGTCTCAGGTATGGTGTTCTACATGGTATAACTTGTCTCAGGTATGGTGTTCTACATGGTATAACTTGTCTCAGGTATGGTGTTCTACGTGGTATAACTTGTCTCAGGGGTGGTGTTCTACATGGTATAACTTGTCATCTCAGGTATGGTGTTCTGCATGGTATAACTTGTCTCAGGTATGGTGTTCTACATGGTATAACTTGTCTGAGGTATGGTGTTCTACATGGTATAACTTGTCATCTCAGGTATGGTGTTCTACATGGTATAACTTGTCATCTCAGGTATGATGTTCTACATGGTATAACTTGTCATCTCAGGTGTGGTGTTCTACATGGTATAACTTGTCGTCTCAGGTATGATGTTCTACATGGTATAACTTGTCATCTCAGGTATGGTGTTCTACATGGTATAACTTGTCATCTCAGGTATGATGTTCTACATGGTATAACCGACAAGTTATACCATGTAGAACACCATACCTGCTGAAGCATGACATTCAGTAATAATGTGTGTGACTTGAACCACAAATAAGACTGATAATAAGTTAAAACACATTATTCTTATGATGTTTTATCACAAACATACTATTAAGTGTTATCTTATGCATGCCAAGGAATTCTACATTTTACCATCAGTATTCAACCTCACTTTCTTCCTGAACTTGAAGCTTGCTGTAATTTTTTGGTTTCGCACTAGTAGCTTGTGGTAAAGGTTCTATGTCTACAAGCAATATTTCTTATCTCCACCAAACCTTTTCAGCACCTAAATCCACACATTTATTTAACAAGTATTTCAATTAATCTCCCCAAGAGTTTCAGTATTAATAATTAAAGGTTTTCTCATAAACTCACTCCGTTGTTTCCCCCCAAGATATTGAAGTATTAACAATCCGAGCTTTCATCAACAGGAAAATACTGCTGTTTCCTTGAGATTTTGAGTTTTAAGAATCCAAAGTTTTTCACCAGACACACGGTGTTGTTTCCCTAAGATTTTCTCACATGCTACTTTATAAACCTCCCAAACTTTATATTCAGAATCAAAGTTTTATCACATTTTTGTTGCTTTCATGTAGACTCTTCACTAATATTACTATTACTACATGAAACATTTAGTTTAAAAAAATCTTGAAAATGTTTTGCTGAAGAAGTTCATCACCGAAAGCAGGTTTGGCCAGATTTTCTTTTTATTTAAAATTATTTTTACAAATAAATTTACATTATCGTCATGAAGTTGAACTCTGATAACTTTTCTTCCCAAACAGCGAGCTGTATAGCTCATTCCTGAAAGAAAGAAAAATGTCAGTTTTGATCAAAGTTGTGAATGGAAAAAAAAAGATAGTATAATGGAATATCAATGTCTTACAAATTACATACAGCTATATAAAAATAGGGGCCATTTTTGAAGTGCAGTAATCTGAGAAATAAATCTGTTACACTAACAATAAAAAGAATAAAACAGATAAGGTGCCAAACACTTATTGTTACTGGAATAAGCATATTAAAACATTAACATGTTCACTGCCGGCATAATAAATTAAGAGTAAAAAAATTCAAAAAGTGCCAGAGAGCAGTCATAATGTCCCAAACTCATATGACACAAGAGAAATTTGGCTTTGAAACATAATTGTCTGTGACCCACTGATGTGTCACGCAGTCCAGTACTAAATGTTCGTTGTGACGCACCGGTGGGGCACATGTCACCATATTTTTTCTCATAATTAGCACTATCATACATGTAACGAATTTGTTACTATATATTTATTTTAATGTCAACATTTGTTTGGATTGAGTTTATATTTACAAACATGCCTAGCTTATAATGTTAGATATGTATTGCGAAATTCCCGCCTATTGTAAGTTGTAGAAGATTCTTGAGAGTAGGAATCAACATTATATCTGTATACGTAAACGTTTAAATATAGCTCAGTATTGTTATGTAATCTGAATTTTCTAGAAAACCTTCCCATGCTTATAAATACAACCAACGCGACATGCCAAAAAGAGAGCGTCTATTAGTAGTTCGCTATGATCAGTGTGCTATAAGCTTCGAAAGCTATAACTGTGATTTTATAACGCTTATCAATCGGAAAACATAAGATATTTGACCAGGAATATTTATAAATTTTGAACGTTACGAATTGTTTAACTTCAAAGAATTCTCATCAGACATTAGTATTTTTACAAAAAACATATAAATTCATCGTTGAAATCAGCGTGTGTGGCTAAGGAGACAAAGCTAGCTAGCTTACTGCCGAATCGACTTGAAATTAATTCGCTCATCGTAAACCCTCAATAAGATATCAAGGGAGTTCCAAACTAGAAAGAAGATTTTATATTGTTTGTAATTTTGTGGAACTTCTGTTTATAAATCTTTGTTAGTAATAACTATTTGTAACAACTGTTATTGTAAATTGTACTGTTGTGTGTATATTAAAACGTATTTGTGTTAAAAACGAAAACGGTGTGTAACAATCTTGTTCGCAAATATCGTAAATCGACTAAAATATCGGAATATATTAAAACACTAAATCCAAAGTACAATTTAACTACTAAATTTAAATTATTTAACTCGGCTTCGGACTATTCAAAATTCTAATATGTAACATACATAAGTTTGCATACCTTGATTCATCAGTCATAGAAGAATTGTCAAGAGGAGCCATGAAATTTATGAGCTTAGGGTGGACATCATATCTGAAACAGTCAAATTTAAATGTCAAGACTAAAAAAAATGTATAAAATCTAAAAAATAACTGATCATTTCCAGTCAAGTTAAAATAACCTGCACTTTGGCATATGAATAGAAATGTAAATTTTACATAAAATAATTTTCCAAAATCATAATAACTTCGAACACTATATATTGAAGATTTCTTACTAAATAACAAATTTTATGAGATTCAATATAAAATCACCATGAAGAAAATTTTCTGATTTTAAGAATTTAAAAGTAATATCTTACCTAACCTTCCTTCCTTTACTTGCTTTAGTGTCAACTTTCCTCTTCATTTTACTTCGAAGTTTCTGAATCTCTAGCCAATGTCTATTTAACGAAGAAAAAAAAAATATGTCAAAGAGAACTATTGGCAATTTCTGAAAGAGAGGATGTGACAGGCAGGTATGGCAATAGGGTTCTGATTTTCTATTTTATGGCTCTGTAACCAAATTGTTATAAAAAATATGTTTTGTCTGAGCAATGACAACATTATAATGAGTAATTGAAATTAATTGTCATACTTCTCGGAGGGATGCTATATTAGGGAAGAGGGGATACTTAGAGAGCAAAAGTCACAATTCTTTAATATACTTTAGTTTTTTTAGTACTGCCTTATAAAATTCAGGACTTAAAAATTAAATAATATTAAACTTTGGATTACTAGCTATGTTTTTATGCCAAGTTTATTCATATCCCATGATAAGAAAGTTGTTTAATTAAATTTTGAGTATAACCAACTAAAACCTCATGACATGCTCACAAAAGGATGCCCATTGCGAGAAGGTTAATACTAAGTTAGCAAGATTCACTGCTATACATTTGTATTTGTTAGTCGCCTTTATATTTTAGGAAAATACTTTACCTACAAGGTAGTTTTTATCAAAGTAAAATGTTGCGATGGTAAATAACAATTGGTAATATTGAGTAGAAAGTTGATAAACTCAACATTTTTTTTATACTGAAAATATATTTCTGATAGATACTCACCAGCACACACCGTTTGGCTTTTTTTCCTCATGTGTGTGCACGTCCTGCCAAAGAGATTTGTAAACCACCAGCCGTATAAAAACTTCCACTTAACGTGAACTTGCACCACTGTATGATGATGTCATCATGCA